TAAGAGGTTGGGAGTAAAAAAGGATAAAACATTTCATTTTTAAATATGCAAATATGTACCTATAAATCAAAATTTTTGGAAAGCCTGGGGAGGGGCCATGGCCACAGTGCCCAGTGCCCCCCTTGAAGCCGCGCCTGCCAACATTCCATGTTTCCTATGTCAAAATATAATTTGTGAACTTATGGACTACGGGAAAACTTTACCCGTCAATTAGATCCTCTATGGTCAATTACTTCCCCCCAGTCATTTTGATCCCCCGACTACTAGATACCCTGACAACTAGATCCCCTTGTGTCATTTTGATCACGGGGATTTAAGTGACGGGGATCTAGGTGGAACGTCACCTTTATTACCAGTACATAACTTAGAAAATCCTGATATCGGACAACACTGCCTACGACCCAGTGTTATAATATTGTGTGGTAACTCTTGATATAATTGTCTGTTTCCAAAGAAGATATTATATAAAAGTTCTGCACGAGTTGGCACCAAAGAGTATATAAAAAAGTAAATTTTGGTAAAAATGTTGGTTACTGTGTTTTGACGTTGTGCAGCTGAAGTGGTCGACGGTCGTAGACCGTAGTACATATTATTTATTTACACTACATTATCACAATCATAGTTATAATTATTAATTATAATAAATAATAATTGTTATTACTTATTATTTAGATTTGACTGATTGACTGTGAGAAATTCTTCGTCATTGGATTTTAAGTAACATTTTGAATTATTTCGAATCTGGATAAGTTGCACCTGTACGGTTCGTTTTGTTTGTATTACTATTATTTTAATGTTGCATAGTACTGGTACGTACTGCGTCGGTTGATTTATGTTTATTTCGTAGTTCATACGAATTACGATTTACGATACCGTCGCCAAAACGCCGATACTCGATAGCAATACATTGTCCAGATTTTGGTTATAAGTGTACATTTTTTTATAAAACAGCCGAGATGTCTGATTCTGTTGGTTGGTGCTTAATCGAAAGCGATCCCGGCGTGTTTACTGAACTGATTCGCGAACTAGGTTTGTGGTGTTTGTGTAGCGGTAGTCTTAACGTCTAATGTTGTACTATTTTTACCATTTCATTATTTCAGGCGTGACTGGAGCTCAAGTCGAAGAATTGTGGACACTGGACAGCAGCTTGTTTGACGCAATCAAGTGAGCTCTTCTTGTTTTTTTATTCTCTATTGAAAACATGTCGAAAGTTGATACTACATACAGGGCCAGCCCAAGGTATTTTGACGCTCTGGGCAATTTTTTGAAAGGCGCCCTTAATCAAATGCTCCATAATACATTTAATAATTTTTATACTTACCTACATATTTTGTTTAAAATTTTATGTTTATGGATAGGTAAATGGTAAAGGATTGCAAAACTTATTTGGATACAATTTATAGACGTATTGGCTGTAACATATACTTTTTTGGTTTTCCCGAGTTAATGATCATATATCATTGTATATTATTTTTTAATTATTTGTAATATAATAATAAAAACTAGAAAGTGGAGTAAAATCTATAAAAAAAATATATAACAGAATATTCTGTTATAGATAATTTAGTCATTTAGCTATATTATTGTCAATTTGAATAAATATTACGCTAAAATTTATAAAATATTCGTATATTAAAAGCGCCCTGGTCRACCACCTGGTACGCTCTTATCTTGGGCTGGCACTGATTACATGCCTACTAGCTACTATATCATACTATTGTTTTTATCATTATTTAGGCCTGTTCACGGTTTGATATTCCTCTTCCGGTGGATAGGAGAAGACCAACCTGATGGACCAATTGTCAGAGATTCAAGGATTGAAAAGTTATTCTTTGCTAAACAGGTTAGTGTTAAATCATTATTCTTATTCTTATGGTAGTCTGGGTTTTGTCTTTATAAATGTTTTTTTAATTTTTTTGCTATTGATGCTAAAACCTCATGAAAAGAAGTAATTATTAAAAAAATACTTTTAATGTTTTAAATTTTTAGGCCACATAATTTATACTAAAAAAATATTTGGTTTTAAGATTATTATTAAATTTGTTTATTTACATACCTAATTGTATACTGTATAATATTAATGCAATTATTTTTATTATTAGGTTATTAATAATGCTTGTGCTACACAGGCTATTTTAAGTGTACTATTTAACTGTCGTCATCCAGATATTGACATTGGCACTACCCTAAGCGAATTCAAAGAATTTTCTCAAAAGTTTGATGCTAATATGAAAGGTCTGGCTTTAAGTAATTCACAAAAAATTCGCTCTGTACATAATTCTTTTGGAAGGTATTATAAATAATTATTTGTTTTATTTTAAAATATTTATCGATATTTTGTATTAGGAGCAATTCTATTTTTGAATTTGATGATACTGCTAAGCCAAAATCAAAAGATGACGAAGCTTATCATTTTGTCGCAATTGTGCCTATTGAAGGTCGTCTTTATGAATTAGATGGATTGAAAGAAGGCCCAATTGACTTAGGATTAATAAAACCCAATACAGATTGGGTTGAAGCTGCAAAACCATTTATTGAGAAAAGGATAAATAAGTAAAAATTTTTTAGATCTCTGACAATTTGTTCATACTTTTTATTTATGTTTTTATTCGTATTTTAGATATAAAGAAGGTGAGGTTCACTTTAACTTGATGGCAGTAGTATCTGATAGGAAATTAATTTTGGAACAACGACTATTGAGTCTGAAAACAGAAGAATTGGTATGATTAAAAGTGTATTAATCTACTTAATGATCATTAATGTATGGTTTTTTAAAAAATTAAATTAGGATGAAGCAACTAAAAATATTGAAGAAAGTAACATCCGTATGAAAATTGCTGACGAGGAAGATAAAATGAAACGATACAAAATTGAAAATGCTCGCCGTAAACATAATTATTTACCATTAATTGTGGAAATATTGAAGTTATTGGCCAAGGATGGAAAGTTGGTACCTTTGTATGAAAGAGCTAAAGCAAAAACCTTAGAAAAGGAAAAACAAAAAGTTGGCAAAGTATAGTTAGAAATTATGTATCATGAAAACATCAACAGATTTGAAAACATAAAATTACAAAAATTTTTTTGAGAATAAGACCGATTGATATTAAAAAGTGATGCATATACTTGTTATTTTTCTTATGTATACATTATAAATTATAATTATGTATCTGTTTTTTGT